CCACCCTAGCCAGGATTCCCCATGCCCCTTGGCTGGGTGCCCACATCTCACACTGGGCTCCATGAGCCCTATGTTTTGTACAAGGCCTGTGCGCTCCCTCTGGGGTTACCTGGCATCTCCCTTGAAGCGGCCTGAATCTTCCTGCACAGGGTCTCCTCTGACAAGTCTGTGAGGCCAGCCTGTTCCCATGTCCAGTTGACCTGCTCCCAGTCCCAGTGTGAGGAGGCTGGGCCAAGAGAGGTCCCTGAGCAGAGGGGGAGTTGGGCCCGGGGACTCTGTGGGAGGAAGTGGCACAGTGAGCACCCAGGAGGACAGTGAGCATCATGGGGTCCTGGCACTCAGGCTGGCTGGGAGACCACATTCCACCAGCACTGGATCTGTCCCTAGGGCTGGAGGTTGTCAGGGTATCCACCCTCCCAGGCTGCAGGCTGGCAGTGACTGGCAGGGGAGGGGCTGGGCTAGTGCAAGAAAAAGCTCTCAGGTAGAGAGGAGGGGGAAGGCGCTCCCCCAGCAGCAGGTGCACTGGGGCAGACTGAGGGGGCATCAGCAGACAGCAGTGTCTGCAGCTGGGGGTCTCCACACAGGCCCCTTCCTGAGACTCAGCACAAGCTTGTCTGGATGACCTGTGTCCCAAACACAAAGTCTGGCCCAGGACCTCCCCTCAAGCTCCCACTCCCAATGCTTTGTACTCAGCTCAAGTGCAAGAAATGACCAGTAGTTTAGGTTGTGCTGGGCTCACAGAAACGTGATTTTTTGGCCCATGCTGTAACATTCCTGGCATTTTAAAGATCTCAGGGCTTTGATTAAAAAATGGTAGAGTGCCAGGGACCCCAGACAGCTTTCTGGAAACCTGCCTCTGTGCCTTGCAGCCCTTCTGTCCCACCAGCTCTGCTCAGAAACCCTCCAGACCACAGACCCGCGGTCTTGGGTCCTCAGACTGCCCAGATGATGTGCCTTCAAACAGCGATCCAGGTGGGGCAGCAGGACACACTGAGGATTCCAGTAACCCCCACTCCCAGAAAGTGAGGGTACTGCTGGACCAGCTGTCCGAAAACAGCGAGGTCAGGGTTCCAGGAAGACACTAGGAGCACAGGAGTAACTGAGGAGCATCTGAAGGTCAGGTAGGGACAGTGGGAATCTCGGGTGGTTTTGCCTGGGGGCAGCTCCCGTCCCCCTAAACTCTCAGTGTGATGGCTCTACTGGCGAATAGGGGAGGGACCATGCCTGGAGGACCTGTGTCTCCACTGTCAGAGGTTGCCAACTTGATCCGTGCACAGGTGGGGAAACCAGCCACACCCCCAAAGAATTTCTGGAAACAGGAGCCATCTCAGTGGCAGCCGACCTGGGAGGTCAACCTTCCAGCTGCCTGAGGTGGGATCGAGTCTCAGACCAGCACACTAGCCAGACATGGAAGAAGGAGAACAAGTTCTGCATTTCAATAGTTTCTGAGTTACTGGTTTGTTCCTATGGTTAGTATACTTTGCAAGGTCTTGAAAATGTTCTCCTCATGTTCTCTGCTGGAGAGGTTCTTGAAAAACCTCTGGTTTATAGGTAAAATCATCTGGAATTGACCTTCGTTGGCACAGCCATGCTGGGAAAAGTATGGAGTTTCCCCCAAATACTAAAAATAGAACTCCTGTAGGATCCCACTACTGGGTAGACATTTGTAGGAAATGAAGTCAGTTTCTCGAAGTAAGATCTGCACACTCTCACCCAATCTCCTCGAGGAGGGGCAACCACCCTCAGCAACAGGGCACCTGTGCGGTGCCTGAAGTCATAGGCAACCCTCCCCTGGAGGCAGGTGCCTCCCTGGGCAAGGGGCTGCCCCAGGGCTGGGAGGTCTCCACAGCAGCACATTTAATGTCCTGGATGCTAGGAGAAGAAAGAGTACAGCACCAGGCCAGTGAGGGCAGGACACACTACCCCAAATATGGCACCTTGACAAATTAAATATATAAACTGAAAGAATTTTCCATAGAGCAAAAGCAGGAAGGTCCCTCTGATACCCAGCCATCAGCTCTTCTTCCTTGAAGCAGGTCAGAATACTCCCAGGTGGTACTTTCTCTCCCCAGACCACAGGGTGGACATGCTTCTCACCAGTGTCAAGGAATTTAGGGCCACAAAGGCTATAAGAACAAACCTGGTTAAACTAACCTTAAAGTAACCTAGTTACTTTTTTTAAAAAAGATTTTATTTAATTATTTGGCACAGTAAGAGGGACCACAAGTAGGCATAGAGGTAGGCAGAGAGAGAGGGGGAAGCAGGCTCCTTGCTGAGCAGAGAGCCCAATGCAGAGCTCAATCCCAGGACCCTGAGATCATGACCGGAGCTGAAGGTAGAGGCTTAACCCACTGAGCCACCCAGGTGTCCCCCTAGTTACTTTTTGACCATTTACCGGCCCTAGCTCAAACCCCTGTGTCTCTCAATTCTTCACACATTGATTGCTTCTTTGCCTAAAACGTAGAAGAACTGTCTGCTCCAACTGCCTCTGCTGGTCTCCATGTTCTTGTGAGGTTCCCACCAAAAAAATCAATGCAGTTTGCCAGTTTTTCTCCTGTTCCTCTGTCTTTGTCAATTTCCAGACCCAGCCAGGGACCTTAAGATGAGTTGAAGAAAACTTTCCTCTCTTGCCGCCCTGGGTGGGGGGTGGTGACAGATGGAGTCAGAAAAATCCATCCCATGTTCCTGGCCTTGGTTAAAACCGCCCTCTGCTGGCAAGCAGCACAGGGCTGTGCATGGCTGGGGGAGCCAGGGAGAGGCAGGTGGAACATGTAGGAAGCTACTGACCCCCAGTGGGGGCACTTGGCCCCACTGGCAAGTTCAGGGTGTGATGGTGAGTATTATAATGGAAGCATCCTGAATATCACACCTTTCCCACCCCAGGCTTCATTATTGCTGCTCATTACTGTTGGCTTAGTGACTTTTCTGAACTAACTTTGTCCAGTCTGTGTTCTTTGCTGCGTGTGGCCACTGAATCCTTGTGCTGTTAGCTAAGTGGTCAGCCAGCGGCTGGGCAGAGAGGTCACTTGTGTTTCTGAGCTATGGCTACAGATTGGAGGGCCCCACAATCTCCTCCTCAGGTTCAAATAGTCTGCTCGAGTGGCTCATGGAACTCAGAGAAACACGTTGCTTACTGGATGACCAGTTCATTAGAAGGACAGAACTCAGGACCAGGCAGCTGGAGGCAAAGAGCAGGCCAAGGTGTGTAGCAGAGGCTCGGAGCTCCCCCACTCTCAGAGTGAAAGAGGCCTTTACCCACCTCCACTCTGACCTTCGTCTGTACTTCCTAACTGATGATGTCCCTCCTTCAGGCTCATCTCTTAAGTCAAGTCAAAGACCCAGCAGGCACCAAAACAACCCTTCAAGCAATAACCACTGCCTGACACCAGCAAGACCCCACGTGATGGACCCCAAGACAATGATTGGCTGAAACGTTACTGACCTCCTGCACCTGCCCACCTAGATTTTCCTCGTGTAAAAGCTCAGGAGTGTTTTCAGTACCTTGAGACCATGCCAGTCCTCGGCCTTCCAGGGTCAGCTGCACTGAAATACATTCCTTTCCTGTGTCACCACCATTCGTCTCTCTGCCTTTGGATCTGGGACACTGTGAAGAGTGCATTGTAGCAAGTCAAATCCCAGTTCTTCCCATCCCCAGGCTTCACTGCTGCTCCTCTCCCTGCAGTTCTGCTGTTGGCTTAGTGACATTTCTGAACTGATTTTGCCAAATCTGTATTCCTCGTTGTGTGTGGCCAAAATATTGTCTGGTCTGTGAATGCAGCGGTCCATTGTCCACTGGGTGAGATTTCCTTAAACATCTGGAAACTGCCCTCCTTCTTAAAACAAAACAAAACAAAACAAAAAACAAACAAACAAAAAACCTTCCAGTCTTTGCAGATTGGGAGGAGGGCTCTTGGTGTGTGGGTGTCAGGATACACCTTCAGCACCAGCCAGGCCTCTTAGCACTCTGTCTTGGCCTTCACTTCCTACTTGCCAAGTCTGACAATCAGCAGAGGGCAGAGCCTAGGGCCTTCTCAGGTCAGCCCGGAGCAGGCCCCCAGCCCATGCATGCAGTGTCCCAGGGGCTCGGGAATAGGTCAGAGCTTCCAGGCCGTTCTTCCCTAAAGCTTCTCATCACTCAGCCTTTCTTCCAGTGATTCTGCTTGCTTTCTATTTGCCCCAACTCTTACCCATTGCCCGAGGCAGCAGAGACTCGCATAAGCCTCTAAATGGTTTGGATATCAAATGTCCTCCAGTAGCCACGTCACTACTGGGAGAGTTGGTGGAAAGCAACAAGTCACAGAGGAATCCAAGGGTCTGGACTTGGTGTTTCCCTCTCCTGAGATAGGGACATCTGTGAAAGGAGCAGGTGACCAGCTGGCTGGGAGGGGGCAGGCACCTGACATGGACAGGACAGATGGGGTAGGTGAAGCCAAGACCCCCGAGGTATGTTCCTGGCATCTGGACTGAACTTGTCATCAAAGCTGCAGATTGGTTAGGATCATCTTCAGGCTGAGGAGGAAAATAAGGGGAGCAGAGGAGACTGAGGAGGCTCATAACAGACACACAAAAAAATTGCTCAATATCCCTCAACAGGAGGGAAATACAAATCAAAACTATGATGAGATACCACCTTACCCCAGTTAGAATGGCTAAAATTAACAAGACAGGAAACAAGTGTTGGCAAGGTTATCGAGAAAGGGGAGCCCTCTTACACTGTTGGTGGGAATGCAAGCTAGTGTAGCCACTCTGGAGAACAGTATGGAGGTTCCTCAAGAAGTTGAAAATAGAACTACCCTACAACCCAGCAATTGAACTCCTGAGTATTTACCCCAATGATACAGATGTAGTGAAATTAAGGGCCACCTGCACCCCAATATTCATAGCAGCAATGTCCACAACAGCTAAACTATGGAAAGAGCCTAGATGTATCCCTCGTTGTGTGTGGCCATTGGCCCATTGGCCACGTTGATCCCCATCACCTGGTGACAGGCCAACGTCAGTCAGTGAACCTCCACCACCAACCCCCCAAAAAAGGCCCCCAGGTAGTAAATGTCACCCTGGCCCCTGGGGATGTAGGCCTGGGACTGTGGCTGGCACTGGTAGCTGAAGTCTTCATGGGACACCCAGTAGAAACTGGGGTGCAGGGTGCCAAAGAGGGGGGACAGGCTCTCCATGCCCACATGGTCACAGAACTTCATGTCCACATCTGCACACAACAGGTCATCCACCTCATGGAGGAAATGCTGCTCACAGAAGCGGCTGACCATCGCCATGATGCTGCATGGACACATCCTGCCAGTGCGGGGCGCCAGGGACCTTCAACAGATGAGTGGATAAAGAAGATATCGTCCATGGGTTGCCTGGGTGGCTCAGTGGGTTAAAGCCTCTGCCTTCGGCTCGGGTCATGATCCCGGGGTCCTGGGATCGAGCCCCGCATCAGGCTCTCTGCTCAGCAGGGAGCCTGCTTCCTCCTCTCTCTGCCGGCCTCTCTGCCTACTTGTGATCTCTGTCAAATAAATAAATAAAATCTTTAAAAAAGAAGAAGAAGAAGATATTGTCCATATATACAAGGGAATATTTCTCAGCCATCAGAAAGGATGAGTACCCACCATTTGCACTGACATGGATGGAACTGGAGGGGATTCTTCTGAGTGAAATAAGTTAAGCAGAGAAAGACAATAATCATATGGTTTCACTCATACGTGGAACATAAGGAATAGAGCAAAGTACCACAAGGGAAGGGAAGGAAAACTGAATGGGAAGAAATCAGAGAGGGAGACAAACCATGAGAGACTTTGGACTCCTGGAACCAAACTGAGGGTTACAGAAGGGGGGATATGGGGTAGCTGGGTGACAGGTATTAAGGAGGGCACATGTTATGATGAGCACTGGGTGTTACAGGCAACTAATAAATCACTGAACACTTACATTAAAATCTACTGATGTACTATATGTTGGCTAATGAATTTAAATTTTAAAAATTAAATTAAATTAAAAAATAAAAAATAAAATCAAGGCATAACTCAGTGGGCTCCATGCTCCTAGAGGCTGAGCTAGCGGCCACAGCGAGGGCCTCTGGTGTTCAGGGGACTGAAGGTCTGGGAGGTGGCTCAGTGCACCCCTGCCCCTGAAGCCCCACGGCCATGGCAAGGTGCAGGGACTAGGAGGGAAGACACCACCAGAGGCCATCCTGGCTCCATGGCCGCTGCAGGACCACTCCCAGCCCCACCAGGCGGTGTCTGTCTAGAACCAGGAAGAAAACCTTTTCCCTTGATTGTTCTTTTTAAAGATGGTTGCTCAAGTGGGTTAAAGCCTCTGCCTTCGACTCAGGTCATGATCTCAGGGTTCTGGGATGGAGCCCCGCATCAGGCTCTCTGCTCGGCAGGGAGCCTGCTTCCTCCTCTCTCTCTGCCTGCCTCTCTGCCTACTTGTGATCTTTGTCTGTCAAATAAATAAATAAAATCTTTTAAAAAAAGGGGAGGAGAGGGGCGGCTGGGTGGCTCAGTGGGTTAAAGATGGTTGCCCAGCATTGACACAGAAAAATATCTGACATAAAACTGGAGCCGTTCACAGCTGCAAATGACCCAGGAGCTATCAAAATGTAGTGACCACAAAGAGAGGACCTTGTGTCCCCAGGCAGGCCTCCTGTGTGCGGGTTCAGCTGGGGGCCCTGGACATGCCCGTTGCAGGCAGGGCTGGGCTCCACAGTCTCCCTCGAGGGGACAGAAGTAGAAACATGTTCTGACAGCTCTGCTCAGGACAGCACCCCCCGATGGAGATGCGGATAGCCCCTTATGAGTCCCAGATGTCCTGGTTGATTCTTGGGCACGGCCTGAATCTCAGCTTCTTCATGAAGGGCGGGGAGGACAGCCCAGCCACCGCAGATCCCATATGTCCTCTGGGGATAGCACCTTGGTGGGCTTGTGGTCCAGCAGGTACCTGTTCAAGTGGCTCTCGTCACACCACACAACCTCGATCCCATTGGCCAGGTGGATCCCCATCACCTGGTGACAGGCCAAGGTCAGTTAGTGAACCTCCACCACCAATCCCCCAAAAAAGGTCCCCAGGTAGTAAATGTCACCCTGGCCCCTGGGGATGTGGGCCTGGGACTGTGGCTGGCACTGGTAGCTGAAGTCTTCATGGGACACCCAGTAGAAACTGGGGTGCAGGGTGCCAAAGAGGGGGGACAGGCTCTCCATGCCCACATGGTCACAGAACGTCATGTCCACAACCGCACACAGCAGGTCATCCACCTCATGGAGGAAGTGCTGCTCACAGAAGCGGCTGACTATCGCCATGTGCTGCATGGACACATCCTGCCAGTGCGGGGTGCCAGGGACCTCGAGGACCACCACCCTTCAACCCTTCCAGCGGGGTACATGGACTGGCAGCCCGCTGGTTGGTGATGACCCAGGAGGCGACCCTGTGTCCCATCATGATGGGCTTCTCTGTCCTCTGCAGGAACAGCTCCAGGAAGACCACCTGTCGACAGGGACAAGGGACAAGGGAGGAGGAGGGTCACTGTCAGAGGTGGTGGAAGGACCCCAGAGTTGGGGGCCATGGATGTGTGCACCTTCTTCAAGGCGACAGGCCCTGGGCTGCTGTAAGCAACAGCCACTCTCGCAGTCTGTCCTGAGCAAGTCTGCTTGTGGGACCTCCCTTCCTTCTGCTCCCAGAGAGGGAGGCCATCAGCACCCCATCATACAAAGGGGAGCCTGAGGCTTCAGAGGTGGGAAACCAACCCCACAGTCAGAATGCTGGAGCCAGGAACACTCCCCTTGTGCTGAGCTCCCAGGCAAATCCAGCAGGTGTCCTCTCCTGGCCGACCCCCTGCAGGTCCTTTCCCCATCTGCAAGGAGTAGAGCACCTTTGGGCACAGGCCTCCTTTCTGTGGCCTACAGACTGGCTAGAATTAGCAGGGCTGGCCTCCTGCCCCACTTTGCTTTGACTGCTGTCACTGGTCCCCACAGAGCTGTCTCCAACCCCATAAGGTCCTCCCTTGAAGGCTACTGGGACTCTTGCTGACAAGGTCCATCAGTCAACACTGCTATTCCTACGAGTGGTCACCCTCGAATTCCCCCAGATCAGGAATCAGGTCCAGCCCATGGGCAGGGAAGAAGAAAGAGGACCGCTGGAAGAAAAGGGGGCTTGCTTAGGTCCCAGCCATGAATTCAAGAGCGTAAGCTTCCAGGTCCAGGTCTACATCTCCTGGGCCCCCAAAAGTTGGAAGTCTTGTCTCTCTGAGGGGACCACCTGTGGGGACAACAGCTCCCCCATTGTCAGCAAGGGTGGTGAGCCCCTCCGAGACTGATTTTTTTAAAGATTTTATTTATTTGACAAAGAGAGAGACAGCTAGAGAGGGAACACAAGCAGGGGGACTGGGAGAAGGAGAAGCAGCCTCCTCGCTGAGCAGGGAGCTCAACATGGTGGGGTTCAGTCCCAGGATCCTGGGATCACGACCTGAGCCAAAGGCAGATGTTTAATGACTGAGCCACCCAGGTGCCCTGAGATGGATTTTTGCACACAGACACTAAGGCTACTTCCCTGTGCCTGCCCCATACCTGGCAGCTTAGTAAATTGCTCACACAGGGAAAGTGAGCACTACATTTAAATTGGGGGCAAGGCCAAACACAGCCAGCAGACATGAGTCAGGTCACCAGGGGGCAAGTCCAGGTCCAGCCAACAGGGTAACAGGCCAGGATTGAAGCAGAGGGAGAGAAGAGTGTTCCTGGCAGAGGGCAGAGAGAATGTAAAGGCCTGGAGTCAGGCCCAAGGCACGTGTGGGATGACCACACACCTGGGAGGCCCACGGGGGTGGGGGGATATGGTGGGAGAGGAAAGGCTGGGAAGAACAAGCAGCTGGGGAGTGGATCACATAGAGGCTCAAAGTTTATGTCCTGAAAAGATCACTCTACTGGTTACTGGAGAAGAATGGACTCTGTACAGCTGAGGACAGGAAAACCCTAACCCTAACCCCACCCTAACCCTAATCAAACGTCACGCTCAATTTTTAGGACTGACAGCTCTACTCTGTCCATCATGCTGGCTTTCACTCTTTGCTCAGTATTGTACTGAGAGTTCTACCCAGAACAATATGGCAAGAAATAAGGAATCCACATGTGAAAGGAAATACTAGAACTAAGTCTATTCAGAGACCAGAGATGGCATCATCTTATATACAGAGTTGCCTAAAGAATCAACAAAAAATGATTACAGCCAGTTCCCTAATTCTGCAAAGTTACAGGACAAAATATCAATACACAAAAATCTCTCTTATTTGTACACGCTAGCAATGAATCATCCAAAAAGGAATTTAAGAAAATAATTCCATTTTAAGGAATATCATTGACAAAATACGTAGGACTAGATGTAATCAATGTGTACAGCTTGTACACCAAAAATTACAAAACATTGCGGAAAGAAAGTAAGGGAAACCTAAATAAATCTGAGGATACCCCATGGTAATGAAAAGACATACTACTGATAAGATGGCAACAGTACACAAAGCAATGTGGAAATTCAATGTGTCCCCAAGAAATTTCGCAAAGGCCTTTGGGAAGAAGTGCACAAGCTAATCATAACAGTCATATGGAATTTTAAGGGACCGTAAGATAGCCAAAACTATCCTGAAAAAGAAAATCAAAGGTAAAAGGTCACACTTCCAAAGTTCAAATCTTAATACAAAGCAACAGTAAATAAAACATTGTGATACTGTTGTAAAGGTATGCATACACCCTGAAACAAATAACACATTATATGTTAATTAGTTGAATTTAAATTTTAAAAATTTTTAAATAAATAAAATAAAATAAGTTTTTAAAGTATGCATACAGATCAGTGGAATTTAACTGAGAGCCCAGAAATAAACCCCTTCATCTATGGTCCACTGAATTTTGACAAGGGTGGACAACATTACACTGAGGGGACAGAATGGTCTTTTCAACAAAGGGGGTAGACAATCCACTATCCATGTACAGAGGAATGGCACTGGACCCTTACCTCACACCACATATAAACATTAATTCAAAATAAGTTAAAGGCTTAAATGTAAGAGGTAAAATTATAAACTCTAGAAGAAACAAATGGGGATAAATCTTCATAACCTTGGATTTAACAATGTTTTTAGATCTGACACCAAAGCATAAGAAGGGAAAGAAAAAAATAGATAAAATAATATCCTCAAAATTAAAAATCTGTGCCACGTGCCTGGGTGGCTCAGTTGGTTAACCATCTTGACTCTTCATTTTGGCTCAGATCATGATCTCAG